ACGCAGACGACGACGACGACGACGACGACGACGACGACGACGACGACGACGACGACGACGACGACGACTACTACTACTACTACTACTACTACTGCTCCTGCTCCTGCTCCTGCTCCTGCTCCTGCTCCTCCTCCTCCTCCTTCTATGCCTCCTCCTCATCATCCTCCTCCCCCTCCTCCTCCTTTGCCTCCTCCTCCTCCTCCGCCTCCTCTGCCCCTGCCTCCTCCTCCTCCTCCTCTTCCTCCTCCTCCTCCTCCTCCTCCTCCTCGTCCTCCTTCATCTCCCCGTCCTCCTCCTCCTTCGCCTCCTCCTCCTCCTCAGCATCCTCCTCAGCATCCTCCTCCTTCTCCTCCTCTGCCTTCTCCTCCTCCTCCTTCTCCTCCTCCGCCTCGTGCCTCTTTGCCTTTGCGCTTGCAAGGGGATGCGGACGGAGGACAGAGAATGAATAACAGGTGTAGGATTTAGAGGATCCAGAGAAGGAGGATCAGGTTTCAAGACGTGCTCCGAAGGCTTCCAGAGGGGGGGGAGGAGCAAGAGTAGGAGCAGGAGGAGGAGGAGGCAGTAATAAGGGTCGTCATGGAGCCTTTCTGTGGAATGCTGTGTAGTATTTTTACCGTTTCCGTAGTTCGCCACTCGTGTTCGCACTTGTTGATTAGGCCGGCGTTCAAATCGCCTCATTTGTGCACGGCGGCGCTCGTGTGATGCTTCCGACGTTGCCACAGAAGATGGGCGTGCTTCCCTGAATCGTTCGGTGAATCGTTCGGGATTTGAGGTTGAACCCATCAGGAGGGAGGGGCATCGCAGGAGGACGAGAGGTAGGCGTGCAGTCATGGACGGCCTTGCCCCCATCCCCTTGGTGAGTCGCCTCCGCGTGGTTCCCGCTCCCCCCCCCCCCGGCGGGAAGACACCGGAAGACCTCGTGGAGTGCGTCGTCGGCCTGAAGAATTAGGCCGCTGTTCGAGCAGGTGGAGAAGGTCACCACCCACCAAACCACCCCAACCCAACCCGAAGGCTCAAATTTACCCTCGATTTCCAGTGGGGGGGGGTCGGGAAACGTCGAAAAAACACATGTGGAACCCTTACCCCCCCCAACCCGAAATTCGGGTCTTCGGGTTGGGTTGGGGTGGTCTGGTAGGTAGTCAGAAGGGAGGAGGAGGATCCTCCTATCTCCCTCATCCCTCGTCATCTTCCCTCTCTCCTCCACTCGCCTTCTCATTGTGGTCCTTGTCGTCCTCTCCCTCCTCCGGGGGAGGCATATGAGGAAGAGGGGCAGGGGCTTGGCGTGAGAAGGAGGAGAAGGAGCGGCAGTGTCACTGAGGATGCCCAACAGAAAAAACATGTATGTGCCAGCGCGCAGATCCACAGCGCAGCGCAGCGAGCAGTACCACTCCATGGATTGCAGCAGCCACCATGCTATCGAAGACGCCTACGGCGAATCACCGCCTTCTGGAATCGCCCGTGTGGCCGAGCGTTGTGGCAAGAGCTTTGCCAAGCTATCGGACCATGTGTTCCCCCAGCCGTTGTGGAAACCCTTCGGGGAGCACTTGGAGAAGGATGGCGGGGAGGAAGAGGAGGAGGAAGAAGAAGAAGAAGGAGAAGAAGAAGAAGAAAAGGAGGAGGAGGGGGCATTTGGAGAGCCTCTGGGGGCACTCTTGTGGCCTCCTGGGAGTTTCCTGGGAACCTTTGGGGGGCATCTTGGGGGCCTCCTGGGCCTCTTGGGGGCCTTTGGGGGCTTCTCGTGGGCTTCTGTGGCCGTCTTACGGTATTCCTAGCCCGTCTGACGCCGTCGGAAGTCGTCTTGGGGGCTTCTTTGGGCCGACTTGGGGCCCTCGCGGGATGCTCCAGGGCCATTTTGGGCGTCGTGGAAGCCTCTTGGGCCGTCTTGGGCCCAGGAGGAGGAGGGGGAGGAGGAGGAGGCGGAGGAGAAGGAGGAGGAGGACGAGGAGGAGGAGGACGAGGAGGAGGAGGAGGAGGAGGAGGAGGAGGAGGAGGAGGAGGAGGAGGAGGGAGGAGGGGTAAGAGGGAACCCAACATGCATCAGCGAGACTGCAAACACGCCCTCCGCCCCAAGTTCCCCAAGCGCTCCAACAAGCGTGTCGCCTCCCCGCGCGAACTGCGCCCCCCCATCCCCCCCTTGGAAGAGGGGGCGCCCCGTGGGCCCACAGCAGCTCGGGGCGAGAGAGGGAGGCCCGCGTGGAGGGAGGCCCGCCCGCCTCCCTTCGAGCCGCCGTCGGCCCGCGGGATTGAGGAGGGGCAGCCCTCCCAGGGGGCACCCCCTTCTGCATCCCCGGCCTCCTCGGCCCATCCCTGGCCGCTTCCGCGGGCCGCACCCCGCCCGGAGAGCTCCGAGGCGGCCTTCCAGGGCCCCTGGCATCCTTCTCGTGCGTCCTCGCGATGCGGGTCGGCTGCGCAGGGAATGCGACGGTGCGGAGCTTCAGAGCGCATGGGGTACCCAAGCGACAGCCCTGCTTCGAAAAGAAGCAGTGCTGCATCCAGATGCAACGGGTGCACAACTTCACATGTCTAGTCGTACAAGCAAACGCGGTCCCAGGCGTGAGCCTCATTTTCAAAAGGAGCCGCCCTCTATCCGTGCAATTGTTGCTTAGTTGTACACTTGATGTAATATGCTCCAGGAGGTCTCAGGCGAGAGCCCCTCATTGAATCAGTGTCGGCATAGGTCCGTGCAAGTGTTGGAAACTGTTCAAACAAGTGCTCGGCGCCGAAGCCGACCGAGGCCGCAGTTTGAAACCGACAGGCCCTCCACCCAACCAGCTCTTAGAAATCTGTAGAATTAATGCGCGCGGCGTAGAGGCGAGAGCCACATGTTGAAAACCACTGGCGTTGCATCCGCGTGCCGGCTCGAATTGTTCCGCTCTGGAGCAGCACTTCGCATGGAAGTCTCAAGCGAAACGCCCAACCAGGCCTGCGGACATGTCCCGTGATGCGACAGGGAGGAGTTACGTATTTATCACGAACATGGATGGAGGGAGAGGGAAGAGAAGGAGGAAGGCGAGCAGAAAGAAGATGAGCTTTTTGCAACACGTTACCACTCGACTTCTGATGAACCCCACGCGGCTGAAACATCACCACCCTGTCCATGGGCAATCGTTGCCGTCGCCCACGCAGTCGGACATCCTGGAGGGCACTGCGCTCGCAGGAGACGCGCCCAAGCAGGCCCGTCCGACAGCCGTCGCCGCGGAGTCGACCGCCCGGGGCCTCTGCGGCCTGGCAGACATCCCGAATTCTCGCAGGCTCGAGGCGCCGCGCTTCTGGAATGGATGGCACAAGGCCCAGGTTCGCTGCCCCCGGCGCGCGCATCCGGCCCATCGGGACGACGCGGCGCATGAGCGCGCCGCGAGACGTGTCCGTTGCCGCCCCCGCGCCCCGTCCGCCAGCTGAGGAGCCCCAGGCGTGTTCGGACGAGGAGAGTGCAGCTGCTAGGGGGAGGGCTCCAGGTCCTCCGCGGTCACTAACGCCGCGAGCGACAGCGAGGTCCCCGGGCAAAGAAGAACGACGACGAAGACGACGACGCAGTGGACGAGGCAGCCAGCCCCGCGGAGCGCGTTCACGTCGTCGACGCGTTGGTGGGACAGCCGGACGCGAGGCGCACGGCCTGCAGCGAGTTCGACCGCGCCTTCGTGCACGAGGTCCGCCTCGTGGTGCTGCATTGGCTGTGCGCCGGGTGCCGCTGCAAATTCTTGGCAAGTGGTGCCCGGCAGTCAGCTTCGCTCGGCACCGTCGGCCAACAGAGGGATCGGCGAAGTAAGCTGACGGCGTCTGGGCGGCAGCACGACCAGCATCTCGAATGCAACCGCCGCGGCCACGTGCACGGCAATTTTTTGGCGGCGAAGGAACTTGCCGCGGTTATCATGGAGGGCGCGGCGGCCCGGATGCCGTCAGTTCGGGCCGCCGGGTGCTTCGAGAATCGCGCCCGGGGAAGACAGCGCGGGCTCCGGCGCGCGCGGATGGGCGGCAGGCCCGGGCATCTTGGTGTCCTGATTCTCCGACGGGGGCAAGCTTGCGCAGGCCAGCCACAACTGGGGGAGCTGTGGTCCTTACCCCCCTGGGGGACCCATCGACTTCGACACCCCTCTCGAGAGATCGTCGATGCGGCGATGGGTTCCCCCAGGGGGGTAAGGACCACAGCTCCCCCAGTTGTGGCTGGTCGCTTGCGCGCGAACCAAATGGGGGGGGCGATCAATGCGGGGGGGGGGAGAAACGTATTCCTCTCGGGCCCTGCTGGCCCACCCTGGCGATCCCCAACGGGCCCCCGTTCCGGGCCGCCAGGGCCCTTCTCCTGCGGCCCTCGCTGCCCCCCCCCCCCCCAGCAGTTCGCGCCCAGCAGGCGGGGGCTGTGGGCGCGGGCGCGGGCGGCGCGGTGCAAGGCCTCCGCTGTGCTGGGTCCGTGGCAGCACGCGGCGCTGCCGCGATGTCAGTTTGCCGCCTGCGCGGCGAGGCGCGCGGATCCCGTCGACCGAGGAGGAAAAAGAAGGGGAAAGAGGAAGACAAGCAGGATGAGGAGGAGGAGGAGGGGGAGGAGGAGGAGGAGGAGGAGGAGGAGGAGGAGGAGGAGGAGGAGGAGGAGAGGGAGGAAGGGGAAGAGAAAAGGAGGAGATGTAGGCGGCAGGAGGGCAGAGGAGGAGGAGGAGGAGGGAGAGGAGGAGGAGAGGAAGGGGGAAAGAGGAGGAGTTGAGGAGGAGGAGGAGGAGAGAGGAAGAAGAAGAAGAAACAAGTAAAAAAGAGGGGGAGGGAGGGGAAGAGGGGGGAGGCAGAAAAGGAGCAGGAGGATGAGGCGACGACAAGAAACAGGGATGAGGAAGAGACGGAGAGAGGAGGAGGAGGAGGAGGAGGAGGGAGGAGGAGGAGGAGAGAGGAGGAGGAGAGGAGGAGGAGGAGGGGGAAGGAGGAGGAGGGGCAGGAGGAGGAGGAGGAGGAGGAGGATGAGGAGGAGGAGGCGGCGGAGAGGCCCCGCGGGACGCTGCAGCCCGCCAGGGTCCTGGTGCAGAGCGGCTCCCCCTCCGACGCGCACAACTGCGGGGCGGGCGACCCTCCGCCGCAGTTGCTGGTGCCAGGACGAGGGGGAGAGGGAGGACGAGAAGGGAGGACGAGGACGAGGAGGGATGAGGACGAGGACGGGGAGGGAGGGAGGAGGGAGGACGAGGACGAGTGCCAGGACGCGGGACGAGGAGGGAGGAGGGAGGAGGGTGAGGACGCGACGGCGACGAATGCGAGGACGGGGGGGCGAGAGCGAGGACGAGGAGGAGGACCAGAGCCGGTGCAGACCCAAGCATCAACGAGGTTGGAAGAATCCCTCCCTCCAAGCCTTCTCTTCACATGCCCCTACAATGAATCATTCCCACTGAGGGAAGTACCCCGTTGGGACACGACAGGTTGAAGATCCTGAAGTGCGCCGAAAAAGCATTCTCGGGATATCAACGCCACTGATCCAATTGACTGTTGCTTCTTGGCGATCCCGAACCGTGCCAGTACATCAATCCTGGGACTGCAACACCGTGGATCAGTGTAACTTTGGCGCCCTAACAATCTTGATTCGTTCCAAAATACCATGTCTGGTACGTGAACCATGGGAATACGCGAAACTCTTGCCAATGTTCAAGACGAGTGTGCGCGGCGCTCAGGCCAGAGCCGCATTTGGAAGAGGACATCCCTCAATTCGTAAAATATTGCGACTACGTGCGCGCGGCGCAAAGGCGAGAGCCACACTACGAGAAAGAAAAAGAACACGCCATCAGTCCGTTAAACTCCTGCAATTGTGTCAGACGAATGTGCTCGGCGGTAGGGCGAGAGTCACATGTTCTAGACGACCCGCTTTCAATCCGTGCAACCCCTGGAGATTATTAAGACGAGCGCGCGCGGCGCTAAGGCGAGAGTCCCAGTTTGAAAACCACCCGCCCTCGATCAGCGAAGCTCTTACATCTTGTAATGCGTGCGGGGCGCGAGGGCGAGAGTCACATGTTGAAAGCCACCTCCCTTCATCTGCGAAGCTTGTTTTTCATTTAAAACAAAAAAACACGCCCCTTTGAAGAGGCGTCCCCTTGAGAGACGAGCGCCTATTTGTGAGCCTGCCGTTATATGGCGAAAGCCCCTTTTTGAAAAGGAAGTGCGTCGCATCCTTCTAGCGAATCGGAACGCATGCGACGCAAGGTACGATCACGAACCCCAGCAGCTTTGAAAGAACAGCAATTCCCACCCGTGTAGATGTTCCACTCTCACAAACACACTGGCACTCATTGCCACCTAGGCTGATGAAGTCTAAAGCGAGAGCTTCATCTTGACACACACACACACACATACACACTGGCATTCCGTGCCACCTCAGCTAAGGAAGCCTGAAGCGCAAGCTCCATTTTGAAAAGGAGCCGCCCTCTACAGCTGCAGCTGCTACGTAAGTTCAAGCTGTTTGTTTTGAACTGTTGAGAAACTCTCAAGCAAGAATCCAGTTATGATAAGGAGCAGCCCTCAGCCCATGTAACTGTTGTATACGTTGTAGTCGAATGCGCGCGGTGCTAAGGCGAGAGCCCTATGCTAAAATGGGGCCGCCTTCCATCCTTGTAAATGTTGCGCGCGTTGCGCTACAACCCACCCGCATCAATCTTCGTAACGGCTGCAGTGTGTCAAGACGAGTGCGCGGCATTACGGCGAAAGCCCAGTTTTAAAATCCACCACCCCTCGATCCGCGCAACGCCTGGAAATTTCAAGTTTCTGGATCATGAGTTATGCCCGTGTCCGCTTCCACGTATCAGTTGTCCTATCTTTCGGATTTCAGCTTCTAACGCTAATCCCAAGTATCCTGTGGTGTCGGCCCTCGTTTTGAATCAGCAGCGCCACGCGTCTCCTCATCCCGTTCACCACTCCCCGTCCGTGCTTCTGTGTCCCGCAGTCACCTCCCTTGCCTCAGTGCTCCGCATGTCCATGTCGGCACACCCTTCGCACGCTTCGAGGCCCCATGTGGAGCTCCACCGAAGACACTGGTGGGCATGCTCGCACGCGTTACCGCTGTTCATGTCGACACACCCCATCACACGCGTCGTGGCCCCACAGGGATCCCCACCGATGGCCCTGGTGAGCATGTTCGCTTACTCTCCCGCTTTTCATTTCGGCACACTCCTCACAGGTTTAGTGGCCCCAGAGGGAGCTTCACCGAAGAGCTCAATGGGGAATTCCGCGTGCGCTCCCGCCGCTGTTCCTGGCACACTTGTCACACGCTTCGTGGCCCCGCAGGTAGCCTCACCTAAGGCCACAGTGGGATAGTCCGCATGCCCCCTATCGGCACACCCCTGCCCGCTCCGTGGCCCAATAGGGAGCTCCCCCGAAGGCCCCGGTGGGAAAGTCCACATGCGTTCCCGCCGCACATACCGACACCACTCACATGATGCGTGACCTCATAGGAAGATCCCGCCCAAGGCCCAAGCAGGCATGTTCGCATTGCGTCCCCGCCGCCGATTTCGTAAGGAGGTACACCGAAGGCCCCAATGAGAAAGGCCACATGGGACCCCGTCGCTCACATGGGCACACCCCTCGCACCAGTTGTCTCCCCATGGGAGCTCCTCTGGAGGACCCTCCCAGTTGGCAAATCCGCAGGCATCTCCGCCGCGAATTGTTGAACACCCCTCACGCGCTTCGTGTCGAAGGCCCCAGTGGGACGGTCCGCATGCGCCTCTGCCTGTCATGTCGGCACATCTGTCACACGTTTCGTGGGGAGTTCCACGGAATGGCCCAGTGGGAAAGTCAGCACGCGCCCCCGCTGCTCATGTCGGTACACCCCTCACGAGCCTCGTGGCCCCAATCCACCGAGGGCCGGCCCATAGGGTAAGGGACCCAATGGGAAAGTCCGCATGCGTCCCCGCAGCCAGTTTCGGCACAGCGGCCCCAAAGGGAGTTATGCCGAAGGCCCCAGCGGGGCAAGGCGCATGGCGTTCTGCAGCCTATCTCGGCACGCCCGTGACACGCCTCGTGGCCCCACAGGGAGCTCCACGGGAGGCCCCCGTGGGAAGAGCCGCATGGCGTTCCCCCCGCCGCATTTCGGCACGCCCCTCTCACGCCTCGCGGCCGCATGTGGAGCTCCCCCCAGGGCCCGAACAGCACAGGGCGCAGGCCGTCCTCCCGCCCAGTTCGGCACACCCGTGACGCGCTGCGCGGCTCAGCAAGGGCTCTCCACCGAAGACGATGCTCAGAACGGCGGTTCTCACAGCTGCACATGCTGAGGTTCTATGGCCGGAGATGTCTTAGTTTCTCGGTCCTTCCATGTTCCTACGTGCCCACGCCTTTGGTGTAGTACTCCTTGTTCCACATGTCATGTTTGTCCGGTGTTGTTTCGCTCCCCTGGGTTTTCCTATGTTCCATTTGTCTGGTTCCTCTTGCTTGCTGATTCGAAGTGAATCGGCGTGCCCATGCCCTCGTCCAGAGCTAAATAATCAAATGTGATTGGTCCTGTGTGTTCAAGCGACAATCCAGATCCAGCCAAACTCCATTGCACCGAAACGCAAGCGGCTTGGTTTGTATACGGTTGATGTGGCAGAGGAGTTTTCGAGGGGAAGGTCGGCTTTAATGAGATTGGGCGGTACTGTGGCTAGCTCAGTCTGAGTAGGCGCTCTGGGTGCGAAATTGCTACTGGCCTCTGATAGCCAGCGAGGTGTTGGCGTGCAGTGTCTTATTGCCAAGAGCGATGGCAGCACAGCCTTGCTGCCATGGCCTCCTCAAGTTTTCCAGAGACGCATACGATCCGCCAGTTCTCCCCTTCTCGGTCGTAGTGCATGCTTCTTCCCCCCTCCCATTCCCTCCATGTCAGTATGTTCGTCCTTTTCATCCCCCTTACCACACATCGCTGGTACGACGTTGTTCTTCACCTGAGGTATGCCTAAGCTGTCACGCCAGCAAGATGCAGCGATGTATTGCGTATCCACCGTAGGAAATTCGGTTGGACGTTTCGCCACCATTATGTTCTCCATTCTGCGGCGAGCCCGCGGGAGCAGTGGGAAGGGGAAAGCCTTCTCAGATGGCTCGCAAGCCCCCTAGCCTTCTGAGAAGTGTTCTTAGCCTTCGCCGGTGACACAGACAACTTCCCTCAGAAGGCCAGAGGGCTTCTGAGAAGTCCCGCCGCCTTCTGAGAAGGCCTTCTTCTTCTCACTTCCCCCCTCGCTCGACGTCGAGCTCTGGATCGTCGGAACACCGAGATCAAATCGGACCGGACAGGCCCGAAGCGATACCGAATCGGACCGATCGGGTCGAAACGAACCGGAGGTCCGCCTCCTGGAGGTGACCCCCC